TCTCCACTCTCGTTGACACAGGCCGTGTTGGTTCGTGTTTCTATAAACGAAAAAATCCACGGAACCCTAGCCATAGACCGCGCGATGGTACCGCCAACCCCGGGAGAGCGGAAGGAAGTAGGTGCGCTAGCGCTTGAAACGTCGACAAAGAGAGGGCGCTGCAATTTCTGTTGACTTACAAGAAAAATCTACGGAACCGTAGCCATAAATTGCTTGCTGTAAAATGTAATAAATCGCTCGGCTATATCCGTAAAGTAAGAACCGAAATTGCGTTTTATCACGTCAGTTGCAGAGTATTTACGGTGATAACCGGGAAGATATGTTCACGATGGACCATGTCTCTGCTAATTTGCCAATAATAATAATAATATTAATAGTAATAATAATAATTGTGACCATTGTAACTACCTCCCGGAACTTATTGGGAGCATCAAAGAATGTAATAACTTCATTTCTGCCATTTCCACTCTCGTCTCCATCTATGGTCCTGTTTGCATGTGTTCTGAAACAAACATAAGAAAGGGCCCTTTCTTATGTAAAGCCCTCTGTGGGCATTTAAGGGTGAAATAAACCAAATGAATTGAAATGATGGCGGTTAAGATGATCGTAATATTAATTAGTGTTATTAATGTCTCCAGGCTTATCACCCCAAAATAAAGAAGTACTCCCACTCATATCTAATGCAAAGCAGAACTATAGTCAGAATAAAGCTAAACCTTTTTGATTTGTTTATTCATGTGTTGCCCTAATAATTTGTGTACCCTGATTTCGGAACCAATTCATTATCTTGTTCGTAGTCTTGTTTGTATGCGATTCTGTGGTTGTTTCGTGATCTGAATATACCAGCCACCACCTTGACGCCGCCGTGCAGGGTTTTCCAAATATCTGCCACCCGAGCCGCCGCCTTACGCCACCGAGCTCGATCCTACGCGGGTAGACGAAAAGTGTTCACCACTGTTCGTCGACCATGTAACGGTGCTCAGCATCTTCAAAATGATCCGCCTAATCCGATTTGTCTTATTCCGACCTAAGATGGTAACAATCAAACAACTCTGGCATAAATTAAAGGAGCTGTGCAACAATTTGAACGTTGAAAGAATTGGCATCTTCTACTTTTGATATTGTTCATTTTGTCACAAAGGACAGAAAACACACCTCCTTCCTTCGAGATGTTGCGATTCCGCCGCCTAATCGCGAGGTAAAAATTAGAATATTCCCCGACCTGCAGCCGCGAGTGGCGGACAAGAGAAACCTGCGGCATGACGTCAATGGGGGCCTTGTAGAACGATAGCAAGTTGTGCGAATACCTGCTCGATAATATGTAACTTTTCTATACACGAACTCAACTCTGTGACGTCACGGCGCGGTGGTGGCGGGTCGGTCGCACTTCCGGTCTGGGACTGTGGGCAGAAGTCCCCATGCCAAACGTGTATTCCTGCGTTGTTTTGAAAGGAACCAGACAAAAACCTGCCTTCTCGTCAAAACGCCGCGACTGGGGCCGTACCAAAAGTGTCGAGAAAGGTTTGAAGGTTAGTTTTCACGTGCTCGGTTCGTCCGAGAATCTGGATATGTGCCGAGAAAAGGGAAAAGCAGACGCCGACGGACAACGATTGCTTGGGCGGGAAGCACTTTTGGTTCAATTCACGAATACTTATGGTCATCAGATTTATTTGTTTTGTCCCAACATGAACGCCAGAAAACCGTCAAGTTGTGCGGACCACCTGAGGACTACGTTCAGTGCATTTTCAAGTTCAAACGGCCGCCCGATCGTTCGAACTGTCGTCTGCTTTTTCAAACGTTCCTACTTGTCGTCTGCTCTTTTAGACGACGCCTGCCCGAATATATAGACCAAATGTTGGCCCGGTACTTGCGATAAGAAGTAAGTGCAGGCCTCAAAAGTCTTAAAATTGAAGGTTGCTAAGCAGGCTCGATGTAAACAGTAGATACAAGGAGATGTTGAACATTGTTACCAGTGTCATCACCAACTTGTTATCCCTAATTCACTTGGTACGATTCTGCTTGCGATTTTCAGTATGGACGTCGACCATCTCAGCTACGGTTCACGCTTTTGCAGCCCGAGCGGCGTCGCGACTGAAAATTGCGAACGAAATCGCATCATGCGAATCAGGCTTTAGCGTACATACTGCGACGTCCACGCGGAAGGAATCGCCACATGTCACATTATTCAAGCGAAGTTTTGTGGTGTAACGAGCCTCGGTAATTTCTCTGACGCCGCTCAAGTAGTCAGACATCGCCATGAAGACGTAGAATCAAGAATTCTAACGCGAAAAAGGGCAGGGGGACTCACACTGACGCCGACAACATCGCATTCCAATGGTTTGTTTATGGGCGACGGCGAGCCTCCTGCCCACACCCCCATCGCGCATGCGCGGTGCCGGTGGCGTCCGCTAGGGGCGCTCCGGTTTGTTTTGTAAACATAAGCTCGTGTATAAATCTTGTCGTTCCAACATAAATACAACTGCGTCAAAAACATGGTATCATCGACAAAACTTTTATTATACGGAGTTTTAGTGGCGCCATCTATCCTAAGTCCACAAAACCGTCAGCTCTTTCTGCTACCGCGAGCAGCCGCCAGAAGCCGGAGGGGGAGGGGGGCAGAGCGTGACGTTAATGGCCGGACCCGGATGAGATTTTCCTCCTTTCACCATATTGTTCGCGCTGCGCCACGTGGTCACGCGGTCGCGCACGGATGACTTCTCGCTGCTCACTGATAGCTCTTGAGAGAGAGCTTCACCGGAACCCCGCCCCCCCCCCCCCCCCCCATTGACGTCACAGCGCACGTGACTCGGAAGTTGGTGAAGGAGTTGAGAGGTGCCGAAAACCTCAAACTTTGTCCATTTTTAAAATAAAAACTAGGGCATGCAGGCAAAAGCGGTTTTTTGTTCTTTACTTCGGAAAGGTCGAGACACCAACTCCCTAATTATTTAAGCAAATCACTAAAACTGTTGCACAGCTCCTTTAAGTTACGCGGACTCAATGCTTGTGATTACTGTGCGGGTGATGAAATATCCAGGATGGTTAATGAGGTACGCCTTCCGATCTCTGGGGTTGTCTTATGAACGACAGGGAAAGAAATATGGTATTGCGTGTAATAATATTTAGAAACACCGAGCTTGCGAACATACCAGCTGCCCACATAAATACAATACATCAATACACAGAAAAGGAGGCAGGATGTTAGAACTACAAAAAACATAAAGGATCGCACCTGAGTATGACGCCTAGTCCCACTATCTCGAAAAACATTTTCAAAGAGACAGAAAGGATGTGCGGCGCACATACGATTTTAAGAATATTATGGATACGCTCCGAGGAGCCCTAGCAATTTTGCACGATGTCGTGGAAGCACGAACGCAAGCACGTTTCTTTAATAGGGAGTTTTAGAATAACGTACGCAACTTTAGCGCGCGCTAGCGCGAAATTTAGCGCTTGCGTTAGCGCACGCTACGCAAGAGAGTTTCAGAATAGCGATTGTCCGCCGCGACGCAAAAGCCCAAGCACCTCGCGCTTGCAATGCCACCAAGATACCGTCGCAATTTTTATTTCACACACGAAATGCTGTAAATCGGGAAAAAAAAAATGAAGTTTTTTGGTCTAGACTAGAGTAACATTTTTTATTTGTTTAAACATGAGACTGCGACGCGAGCGGTCGGCCGGTCGTGTCCGCTTACGCCGACTCGGCAAGAGAGGTCTCGTGTACTGACCTTCGCACACGGTACCTTCGCTGCCTTCGCCGAGAAATGTTCGCGCGTCGCAAGCATCAAGTTGCCGGTCCCGTATTGAAAATCGCAGTCGCGAGTATGCCGCCGACGTCGCACTCACAACACAGCCAAGGCGACCGCAGACATGGTCCTGGGAAACGCCATTTTTTTAACTGTACTCGTCTTGGCTTTAGCCAACTTCTCGTTACGAATGCTCATTGGAGGAGCACAAAGACTCCCTGCGTACGCACGCAATTTCCGAAAAATAGCGTACGCTGACACACAAAACGTGGTTAGCGTTCGGCGCATACGCAATGGCGACGACGCTATTCTAAAACTCTCTAATGTCTATCTCATGAGAGCTTTCGTTCAAACCGCAAAATGCTGCCGTTTATTGCGGTCGATTGGCTCTGGTATTGGAATTAGCCTCATGATTAATCGATTAATGATTTAATGGCGATTAATATTTTTATCCGGTTAATGGGTAGAATTTTGACGGAAGGAAAAAAGTAAAAATTAAGTTTTCACCATTCCGACGTCAACGGGTATACCTCTATGAAGGGCGAACGTTAGGTGAAATTTTGACCTTGAAGTAAAGTGTAGGGGCGAGATTTTTAACTCCAGACAAGCGCAGGTTACTTACATGTGTCCAGGTCACTTAGATGCCGTGCGAGTGTCCGTTTGGTACAGCAGAAATTTTTGTGAACAATCGAGGGACGCCACTCTGGTGGGAGAGTTGCGACGAACCTCTTCGCTTCATGCAGCTGAAGAATTCGGGTGTGAATGTATTTGAACTGTTCTCAACTACACATCGAGGTTGATCCATAATCAAAATTGCCATATTTCCCCATTTAACATATATTCAGCAAAGGCAAATCAAATATAATTTTGACGCTTTTAATGCATTATGCATGAAATGAATGAGATTAATTAATCGATTAAAAGAAAGCGATTAATCGGGGTTCTTTTCTTTATTCGACGCCCAGCCCTAGTTTTTACAAGTTTCAAATCTCGTTGCCCTAAAAACAATATTTGTAAAAGTGATTTTACTCAAGTCATCAGCAGTCTTATGCGACTGTTTTGCGTAGGATTGGGACTCTAGACCAGATTGAGCGGTTAACAATGCGTAGTTGGTGTATTATAGTTGCAATACAACGACGGGTCGAAAAGTGGGCTAGATACCTTTCCCTCGTGCTGTTCGATGCGACAAAGCGTTCGGAAATATTGAACCCAGAGAAGCCTATTTCCGCAACGTTCAGATCAAAGAGCAACGCTGAGTTTTCGCTTGCTAACTTTTTTATTCATAATAAAATATATCGCGTATGGTCTATTTACAGTTCAGAGCATCGTGCGAGGAAGGACCCTCTGATCGTAGTAGGCATAGGGAAGTGCATCAATACAGAACGCACACCGCATATTTCAACCTTTGGTTACGACTCGACCAAGTAGTCTACATGCCTTCGTACAACCTTAATCACGTGAGGTCCGTTCGTAGCGTCGTCGAAAGACCCGGCATTGTTTCCAGTCATTTCTTCCCGTCGAACAATCATCGCAAGCGGTACAATCACAAGAACAAATTACAAATACAGTTCAGACTCATTGAAACATGCGGTAACATAGTAAAGTACGTCTTCAAGCTACCACAAAAAACAAACAAAAAAAAAGGGAAAAAGAAGAAACGTACGTGCGAGATCATCCAGCCTTCCAAACTTCACTCCATCTTGCAACAATCCGAGCGGCAGCCTCACATTGTTCATATATTTTTTTTTATACCGACAGGCTACTACGTTGGATACACTCTTCGGGTTCACTATAAAATGTCAGGGCCGCACCGGTGTGAGGGTGAGGCAGCACACCACGGTGATCAGTGGTCGTGGGCGTGGAGTGAATGGTGACTCCCGTCGCCCGTCCGCTGAACCCTCTGCTGAATCATCTCCTGGGTGGGCTTCTTGAGGTCGTATGCCCAACCGATTTTCTCCATGGCCTCGATGAACATCGTGGACGGGTTTAACCGCCAGCCGAGCTCGCTGGTCGAGTAGTCCCAGGGAAACGTGTGGTGGTAGTTGTGGAAGCCCTCGCCAATTGCAAGGACGGACACGAGCCAGTTCTCCGATGGAGAAATGGCCTTGTCGTAGGGCTTCTGGCCCCAGATGTGCGCGGCGCTGTTCACCAGCCACGTGGAGTTGAGCTGGAAGACCCAGCGAAGGATGGCCGCCACGAAGAAACTGTTCCACTTGGCCTCACCCCAGTAGCGGTGGGGGATCATGGTGGGCATGATGAAGCAGAACAGGATCGTCATTGGGATGTGATACCTGGAAGAAGGTAGGCACAGTATTGTCAAAGAAAGCGGCGTACCCACAAAACAATAAAAAACAACCAGCTGAGCAACAGTCGCAAGATTCGCGAAGCACGAATGCGGTCCATGTTGCTTTTCTATATTAATTTGAATGGGGGTCAGACCTATTGCTGTATAATATGAAAACAAAGAAAAAAGACTTATCTGCGCCCTAAAATAAACTTCACATGACGGTCGCGTACTCAGACTCACCACTGGTTCACCCAAGACGTAACATTAAAGGGGCACTGAAGTCGATTCTGAGATCGTCCTTTTGTGGTGGCAACTGAATCTAGACGCTCTAAGCATCCAACGAACCCGAAATAACAATCGTGCCTAGCTTATTTCCTCATTAAAAACATGCTCAAAGATCGCGGCACGCCATTTTTGGGAATAATTTCCGTCGAGTGACGAGGTCGACCAAGGGCGCTTGTCGGCGAGTTGCAAGCGATGGCTTCGCCCGCAGTGAAGAAGAGAAGCCTTATCCGAATTTGTGCCTCTCAGAATCTCTTCGAAACGAGTTATAATAAAATCATTCGGAATCTGCGCAAATTGTAGGGGTTTCATTGGTCCACACAATACGGATCAATATATCCGCGAGAAAAAAAGAGTCCACATGTGTTTCTATTTCCCTGAGATGAATAGGCAGTTCCGTAATAGAGGACTTGGTATATGTGGGAACTAACACATTTTAATCAATATAAGATCAAAAACGACCTTTTTTTTCAATATTGGCTTCAGTGCCCCTTACGCCTTATATGCATACCCAAGCAGATCACGGATTGAGAAATTTGGTGATGTTCTTGAATGGGCTGCACGATCAAACTTGAAATCTTAGTATTCGGGAATGTTGCCGGGGAGAGAACCAGACACCTTGTAGAATGTCAGGAGGCCGCCTGCACTCGTCCATTCTACAAGTATTTCCCAAGGCTGCAAAGAAGTTGAACGGGACGCAACGAACTCCAAAACATCATACATTGATATATCAAACGAATGGTCGTATTTTTGGAAACAAAGGGCGCAATCAAGTGAGGACTGTGATGTCACGATACTCCTGAAACAGTTGAGAATGATTGAAAGCGGTGTTGCCTCTGTTCTCCTCACTTCGGTTCACCTACTGGAGGGGACGAAGCGAAAAGGAGAAGGAATCAGAATCGTGACATTTCTCCTGGGCCTTGTCGGCCGTGTTCAGTGGCGGACTGTTTTCCAAAAATACATACGACCATTAAGCCGGAGTAACACTGCTTATACGTCATACAAAAGACAGTCTGCACAAAGATTCGAACGCGAGTCACGGCGAGGTGTGTACTTCCAATACCGCATTACAATGAGTTCGAACCATGAATATTGTGGTGACTCGTGTTTCCAGGCTGTATGATGTATGAGAAGTGTGACCCGGCTCTTTAGATATCGCTTCATGAGTGATATTTTGGGGGTTTGCAGCGACCCGCCTATCGCTCCAGCCTTCTTTTATGAGCTCGAATTTCGGTTCAGCGTCCTCCCCCTTTTTTCCAAACGAGAAGATCGGATCCTTACCGCATCTGGAAGCGCACCACGGGGTCGTTGTAGACGTCGGCGCAGTCGATGGCCTTCCCCTTCTTTGTGACCTCGGGATGCTTCCTGCACATGAGCCATCCGACGTGGGCGAAAAAGAAGCCGCGGTTCACGTTGTGCGGATCCGCGTCCGTCTCGGAGTACTTGTGATGCACGCGATGGTCCCGGACCCAGTCGTAGATGTCATTCTGCGAAAAACAAGAGAGAAGCCACAACGTCAGCATGGCTAGTTTTTCTACAGCGCCAGAGGAAATGCACGTATATACATTCAATATACTTTTAACAACCCATCTCCCGTTCAAATTAGAAATATAAAAAAATTGTCGCGGTTGGCTTAAGTTTTGAAAGGGTTCTTTCTGCAAGTGTGAGCACTCGAAATCATTAGGTACATTTAGAATATGGCACTCCCTACTCTTGGAGGGCTCCTATGCAATTTGGGCCGTCGCACCGCATAGGTGCAGCCGTATTCTAAAACTTATTATTAACTGGCTATGATCACGTGCAAGCTAAGGAGCAGAGTGATCTCACTTAAAAACATTACTAATGTAGTGCGGAGAGAATAACCTTCTCTGTTCATCGGCACCAGGTACAGGGTTTAATTTGTCTAGACTGGTTTAAAGCTGGCTATCTCAACGATGTCAAACACACAAAAGAGAAAAGCGTGTGCTGCCAGTAGGAACATTAATTCGGGATCTAAGTGACTCACATGCAAAAAAGAGTCCTGCTAGACTAAAACAAGTTTTCAAAAGATAAAAAAATTAAAATACCTGTATCGCGAGATCTGTTTAAATGACACTTAGACCATTGAACGCGAAAAACATATCTTAAAAAAAATGCGTTACTAGTCGTCTGCCTTAGGCAATGATTAATCCCTTGAAAAACAATTTAAAAAAAAAATTAAAAAAACGTTCGCAACGTTGGTTCTGCATCTGGTTTACGGTGTCCTTCGAACGCAGAAAAAGTCACAAGCTGCCTGTCCCCAGGAGTACTTCTTAACCAGTTTGACGGCCCTTTCTTAACCATTAATTTGCATATGACATTGCGCGTTTGTATCCGCAATATCAGAGCCGCCCCAGGCTTGCAGCTTATCACAGATTTCTAGAAAAACCGCGGCTGAAAACACAGGTGAGCCTCGTTGAAGTTATAGAGCCTGGCGAGCAGACGGCCTCGAAAACAGGGGAATACAAAGATCGTGCGCCGAATCGATGTCGCAAGAGGATCGCGAGAGGCGAAAGGCAGTCGAGTTTGCGTTCGACGAGATCCGTTTCGGAAACGGGAAGGTAGCTTGGAATTTTTCCTGCTGTTTTTGCGAAGATTAAAGTCTGCCCGATATATATGCGCCCGAATGTTACCGGCCCGCCTCACGACCACTTATTACTTTTTAATACGAAATGGTTCCCATGGCAACCGAAGTTCATACAATGCGTCGTAGAGAATCGCAAGGAGTCGTAAAGCAGTTTATCACACACGTATAAACCAGTCCTATCATCATGAAGCTCTTTCGGTAAGTGTGTGAAACTGACAACAAATTCAGAATTCAGGTTTCCAGCTCTCCGGTGCAAAAACATATCCTAAGCTTTGCTCTCGCCTTTGCAAGCTCAATGGGAGCTCACGCGCTGTCGAAGCACTACAGAAGGCAGCGTGGTGGAGTATTACAACAGGCAGAGTTTAGAATATAAATCTACGTCGAAAATTTACTGTCTGGCTATTAGAAGCACGCACCTGTCCAGCCATGCAGTTGAAGAGCATAAGAAGGGTCCGAAGAGGCAGCTTAGCCTTGTAGGAACGATGACTCCATAATCGATGTGCTCCAGCCGTGACGCTGAGGCCGGAGCAGCCGACGTAGAAGAGTGCTGCAAGTGGAAGAAAAAAAAAATGTTAGGACCCAGGAACTTCCGAACTAATCCCGGAACAATGTCCTACCACAAGAAGGTCAGACGTTAGAGACACTTATCCCCCGAGGTAAGACGCCTAAGAGGGTCGCTCTTGACGCGTCGTGGCTGGTTCGTCAAAACGAGAAAAGCGCAGCACGTAGGAAACACCAGCGCTGAAAGACCTATTGTTAGTAGCACCTCTCGGCCAACCCAAGTTTTGTTTGGAGCTCGTCCTGCTTGACAGGTTTTCCTTTGACAATGTATGGATGCACGGCAACTTAGCGTGTGCCCGAGTGGCGATGACGTTCGAGAGGAAGAGACAAACGCGTTTTACACCGGCTGGCTTTTGCGCAGACGGAGAATGATTTCGGAACCCAGCGGGAGGTTTTATTTCCCATTGCCATTGAGGCAGCCGTTCCCGGGAAGCGATTTCCAGCGTCCTCAAAAACCACTTTAGCTCGGTCAAGGGCGCTGTCGCGAAGCTGAGTGATCCAAAGAGGCGAAGGCTGCCGCCGGGCGCGCCAAGGCCAGCCCGGAGTTGATAAGGCCTTGCCCCCGCAGCCAGTGCCCACGGCCCCACGGCCTTATGGCCCCACGGCGTGACCCCAAGTCCTCCCGGAATGCAGAGCTGCTCCGAACGAGCTCATCGAAAGTCCACCAGAAGAAGGAGAGCTTTGTTCACCAATTCACCTTGCGATGGACCGCGAGGAACGCTACGAGCCATCCCTACCATTTCATCGCCGCGAACGTGTCACGTGACTGCGCTCTCTCAAAGGTCACGTGATACGCGCACAATTCTGGATTGGCTCTGGTGGCTCGTAGCCTCTGATGTGGTCCATCGTAAGGTGAAATGGTGTCTAGCAGTCCGTATGTCTGTGGAATGTTATCGGCACTGAGTGCTTCGTAGTGATCGCGGGTCCATCATCCACGTGCCTTCAAGAAGGAGGAACTAGGCTGCTTAATTGGACGAAAAAATGCCAATAGAGAAAAAATTCGAAACGCGATGGCATTATCATTTTAAAGCGCACGTACAACCAGCGTATAGTTAAAAAAATAAAAAAAAGTGCAATGACTAGAAATTTAAAAAAAGGCTTCAGAATTTTTTTTTTTGAAACAACTAGTACTCCCGCTAATCTCCAACAAAAATAAAAAGTAAAGACGCTTTCGAGTTCCTGCGACGGCACGCGTGTGGTATTGGATCAAGGCAATCCGCATTGATCGCCTTGACTAGGTCGGCCGAGATGGGCTCATGTCGCGTGCTAATTATCACGTCAAGGGGAGCTGCGAAGAACATTAGAGGATCGATTCGTGTTTTTCCAGATCATGGTCAGGCCTACACGTGGAAACAAATTGAGATTTATCTGCTAGACTAACGAAAAACTGTGTTTGGAGGTTTGTGTCTGTACTTTGTCCCCCTTGCTCCCCCTCTTCAGGGATTATTATTGCTATTCTTGTCCAACTCGAGGCACCTTAGCATCAATCGCGTTGACAACACAGCTTGTTCGTCTGGGGACGCTCAGGGGATCGAGGCATAAATTAGGTATTCGAACACGCCGTAACACGTTATAAGAACGAACATGTTTACTAAGCCCCGCGCGTAGTTCGATCTCGTAAATCTGCAACCTCCTAAAATAAAATGAAAAGAAATAACTGGGTAAGAACAGTGCTAAGGACATCGAGGAGGTAACCAAACGACCGCCTCCAATGCTGTTTACCTCCCTCGAGGCCTTGTGCATCGTCATGGGAACTTCTGTGGGAAATGCCAGACGTTTTGCCCAGGCAAGGTTGGCCAATTATCTCCGAATCACATTGATCGGGTTCCTCACATTAATTCATTTCTGTGATCGTGGCAGTGACTGATGTCACGGGTCGGTTGCGACCAAGCACGATTGTCGTGATTACTTCTTTGGGGTGGGGAAGAAACAGGAAACAGGCGGACGAGGAAAGTGCGCTTGATGTACGAGGCGTTCCGTTCCACCGCGATCGGCATCCCCCGGTGAAACGGTCTGTTGACGGGTCTCAGTTCGGGGTATTAGCAGCAGCAATGGAGGAAAAACTGTGCGTCATGCGTCTTCGTTGGCACCGCATATTTACGGGGGCTGACACCGCGTACGCCAGTCGGTATGGACAAAACAGAGTGACGTCACACTTTTGCTTTTCTGCCCTTCTTCATGCAAGACCGTGAAACACGACATTTTCGTTCAAATCCCACCTAAAACGTTTAAAACATTTCACTTTTCTTTTTTCGTTTTTTAGTTTGTTACAAGGTTTTAGAGACACGAATTCTTCCGTTGTACTTCAGTCGAGGCGAGCCTTAATTTATTACTTGCGCAATCACCACTAAAACTGTGTAGTCGCATAAGTGTGAAACCATCGTAAAAAGAAAAAGAAGGTGACGCCCGGCGAAGACACGCGCCACATTTCGTAACCTATCGCTATCGCCGGCATTGACTACTTGAGAGCCGCGAACATTACAAAAAAATCCCGTATTTCTACATCATATGGTTTTGCATTGCGTAGTAGCGTCTATAGTATAAAGTGTGATGTATAATTAATTTCGAGGGTTTGGTGCCGATTAAAAAGGTCCATCACAATCAAATGCTGCCCCTTAATCGATAAATTGGTGGAGTTGGCTTTCAAGCACAACACATAAAGTAAAGCTATCCCCCCGGTAGGTATTTTTATACCATTTTTCGCAGTATTATTTATAAACAAACTTAACCCTCCCCCCCCCCCCCCCCAAAAAAAAAAGAAGAAAACGAGCAATTTTTTTTTTTTAAGCATAAATATTTGTTTGCTATTTTTTAAACCTGATGATTCCTAGATTACAAACTAGGATTCAGTGTTTTCGGAGCTTATCTCTCGTGAAATTCGGAGGGTGTTTTTCAAAGTTTATTTTTCGCTGAAAATTCGGGGTTTATCGGAGTTTATTTTTGTTAGATTCCCGATTTTTTTAAATTTGAAGTTTATTTTACTGCGTAAAATAAAAAAAAAAAAATTCTCAAACAAAATAAGTAACGTTTGGGTATCAACACACGTTGTCCCGAAGAAACCTCGACGTGCTAAAGGGCAGCCTTCTTATGTCAGTTGTTCTAGATTTCAAAGGAACCGAAAGTGGAGTTTAGTTGTTTTTGCTGTTTATTTTGTCGCTGTGACCTCGAAATTCGGGAGTTTTTTGGATAAATCCGAATTGACACAAAACAAACCGGCGAGTGATTTTTCGGATTTTTTCGTATTTATCCGAAAACACGGAACGTTAGTTACAATATAAGGAAACGCCAAAGTGTTCTTCCTAATGGAAAACAACAGTGCTACCTGGTAAATACATAAATGTGCCCAAAGTAGTAAAGCAGGCATTTCACATTCCCCCAATATTTCTACCTCAAAACTCAATTGATTCACCGGCTAAATATTTATCGCGATTAAAGCATTAATCTATAAATCGGAAGGTTAATCGGTCAACTGCCCAGCCCAACTCACCATTCATCGCTAAGCTGACAGTGCGGTGGAAGCTACGTGATTTGTGTTCGACTCCCATTATTTTGAAGAAAAAAAAAAAGAAGAAAAATACTGGCTTCAGAGGGAAACTGGTAAAGGCCCGTTCACACTCTTGCAACCGAGTGCGACCGAGAGAGACCAAACCGGTTTTTAAGCCTCTTGCGATCTCTTAGGACCAGCTCCGCTCAGTGCATCCGGTCCCAAGAAGTCTTTCTCGGTCGTACTCGGTTGCAAGAGTGTGAACGCGCCTTAACACTAAAACTCACTGAATAGGAGGGTCTTCCACTGGGCTGCGGTGACAGCGACGTAGGCGCCGTAAAGGGCCATCAGGTGGATCACGAGGATCTTGAAGACGTTGATCCAGATTATCTCCAAGGGCTCGGGCTTGCCCCTGATCGGATCCACGGCCGGGACCCCGGCGTCGTCGCCGTCCACCTTGGATCGGGTTTCCGTGGTCGTGATGGTTGTGGTCTCGGTGCGTGGCGCCATTGCTCTGCCGGCTCTTCCTGCATGGACAAAAGCGTAGGACATTAGACATCACAGAGAACGCGCAGGCGAGCTGGTTAACTTTCAACATCTTGAACTTTAGAGGAGAAATTGACAGCACACACACAGGTAGTACGTTGCCGTCACGCCGGGAACCAAATGCGAACGCTAGCTAAGAGCACCGCGGCTCGACCTGGAACCATGCAAGATCTTTCACTCTCTCTCTCTTTGTCCTATTGATGAGATTTCAGCTGCGTCATTTTGCTTTCCGTTATTATCTTATTATGCCTTATTTTAGTCAGACTGGTCGTCTCTGAATAAAGATTGACTTACTTTTATCTCTTTTTGCAGCTTGGTTTTATTGTTCTGATGGTCTTGTTGGAAATTAACGTCGACTGCCAAAAGGAAAACAAAAAAACGCGTGGGCGCATCTATCAAAACAGCCACTGGCTGGATAAGAGCTGCATGGAGGAGTTCCAGTCGTCCCACCACGGCGCAGGCTTCATTCTTTCGATAACGCTTCGTCATCTCGTGAGTTTTCGAACGCGAACTTGAGCGCGTTCGCGCAGCCGAGGCACGGCGGCACGCGGCGGAAACGAGTGAGTGCCGGAGGCCGAGCACCCCCAAGACACACCTTGCTGTTCTCATTGTCAGTGATTATACACATCTCTAGCGCTTATCATCCATGCAAAAAAGGTCGAGTCACTAAAGAGAGCTACGGCGCACGCTCAAAACATATTCCATAGCCAGGTAGAAAAAGCTGGCAGCGCGTGGAAAGCGTGTATTGGAATTGTGTATAGTGCGTATCTCTGAGGAGCGGGTGAGCTCGCACAAAGTCGGCGATTGAGTAACACTACCCCCAACAACAAAAATAAAATACCGATAAAACTATTTTACTCGGGAAGCCAAAGCTGCCGCGAATGAAAGGGAAAAGCCACCAACCTCGATTCCGCGGCGACGACTACGTGGCTCTTTCTCATGTTTTTATTTTCCCGAAAGGAGATCAAGGTGGAATCGATGTATTTATTCCGCCATAACCGATGCGGATTGAAAGTGAAAGTAGAGCATCTCGGTGCCCGCCGTTTTGTGCGCCCGTCCCGCAAACGTAATCTCCGCCGATAAGAACCGACAAACAAATGAAAACAGAAAACGACACGGGCAAAATATCCAACGCCCTTTACTCGCAAGAAGCTCTTAAGAAAAGAAAAAATCGGGTCAGGGTGGAATTCGTGCAGCGGCGGCGCGCAGCTTTCCCCCGCGGCAGGGCCCCCCCAAACAGGACTCGTCAGTCTTTTGCCCTCCCGATTAAAGAACGAAAAGAAAGTGAAAGCAAACCTGATTTCCTGGCCCCAATAAGGGGGCCCCCAGACGAACCGGCAGCAAAGATCCGCCGGAGAGATAACTGCGCCACGGTCAGGGGCAGGCAGCTTCCCATTCCGCTTTCCACTTGACTTTTTTTATTTTTTTTTCCCCGAGAGGCGCATTGACAGGGCGATCGTGGATAGCGATCGCCGATTCGGCAACTGATATAAAGATGACTCGGAAACTACTTACAACTACTCAACTACTCTTGGCGAAGGGTTGGGAAAAAACCCAGTCTGGTCTGAATTAGCGCGTGTTGCTTTTGCACCCCCGTAATCTTCGCACTAAATCGCCCCTTCTCGCAAACCAGAAGGGCTTGTGTGGGTTTGTTTCGGAAGCGATTGCCATTCATCTTATCTTAAAAAGAAAAATTGAAGCAAGCAGCGCCTTTGATTGCAACGATGCGATGACGCAAATAAAAAGTGTACGATGACGATTTAAAGACACACGCACAACTATAGTAAGTTACAGCTCAAAAAGGTAGAGCGAGGGAAGGGAAGGCTGGAGAGAAAGAAGCAGACGGAACGCTGGAGGGGAGCCGGGGATACATCCTCCTTTCTTTAGTGTTCCGTCTGCTTCCTCCTCCCCGGCCTCCCTTTCCCTCGCCCTGTACCTTCTTGAGTTGCAACGGACTATAGTTATTAGCGAAAAAAGTTTACAACTCGTTACTTATTCCCGACTTCAAAGGAGGCGACGCGAAGGAGAGAAGGGGGAGTTGGCGGTTTCACCCATTAAAGGTTGCAGCAGAAATTGGTGCGGCCTGGTGGCGGAAATGCGAAACAGCAGACAGGAGATTTGACGCGTCAGATTTCCCAACATGGGAGATGTGACGCTGATATTTGCGCATAAAAAATATCTGTATGGAAACATGACATTATTATGTTCACAATCACATTCGTTCATGGTTACTAGCGGCATACGAGCGTAGAGGAGCTGTTAAAAAGTTGCATTTCAGTTATCTGCAATTACTGTGGCTTCGTTTTAAAGAGAAATCTACGCAGAGTTGATCTACTCGAATAATAATGCGCAGAATACGGGACTTGGATCTCGCTAAGCGGATTATCGACGGCGACTGCGGTTCAGTAAGTACCTCAACCGCTTGTAGTTCCGGATTTTTTCGCCCGAGACCCAAGATTTTTTTTTTTTTTTTTACCTGTTTGATATATATTGTGCCGACAACTCAGTACTGGCTCGTTCATCACCTCACAACATGCTCACACGATCTGTACGAGGATAATTCCAACCGAGTTAACTTCCGCTGTTGGTCCTGGGCTTCCGAGTCTGATAATCTCGATTGTCAGCTTCGTAGTTACGAATGAGATACGATGCTCTCAATGAGATGTCTCAAAAGCGACCTAATGCATAATTTGACGTCACAAAACTACCGCGTTCATGAAACGTTTGAATAAACTAAAACGAGTTACCAACTTCTACGAAGATCGTTCGATTCAACTTCAATAAACTGTGCGACGAGTCCTCGGTTCCGCCGAGTAATTCGCGCTGCTTAGTTAATAGTTATTGTTCAACGCAGGGCGTTTATTCGGGTGATAACGATCCGGCAGTCTAAAGAGGCAAGATCCTAGCTTCTAAAACCGATACGTTCCTTATCCCACCTTGGAGAGTGCAGATGCATGCCCATGCAGATGCCGGCATCAATATTTACCTCACTCGATCACAGAAAAATCATGCGATTAGACAGCAATAATCTTTTAGTCTCTCTGACATCTTCGTCGTTTTCGTAGAAAGAAATCAGTGAGGAATTGGAAATACTAGTGGGCGAGATTGAACTACGGACTCAATGGAAAGGTAATAGAAAAACGATCCCAGTCTAAAATGCCAAGCATTTTAGGCGTCCTCAATTAACGTTCGACGAGGAGGTCCTCGTTGGAACAAAGGGCTCCTTGGCATGGTCGATGAGTTTTTGACTCAGGAAGCAGCACGTACCTGATACAGGTGACTCAGGTGAAATGAGGTGTTCGAGGTTCAGCGCCGGAGAAGAAAAATCCCCGCGGGCGTCTCTCAAGCCGCCAAGTGGTAAATCCTCTGTCGGTGGTGGCTCAGACCGGTGTGGAACCAAAGAACATCACACGGGAACGAACAGTCTCTGAGAGCGACAAAAAGAAAGAAACTTTGCCGAGGCCAACACGGCCGATCGTTGAATACTCGAAGAACAGGACCAGGCTGGGGTCCGAACACCTTTGGAAACAAGTGTTTCTGTTAGTGGTGCCGAAGACGTCCCTTTCTTAAATACCGTTTCCCGATGACGAGAAAGCGAAAGAGCGGTGAAAGAGAGAGCACGAACAGGTGAAAACCAACAGGGGAGGGGGCGAAGTGGGAAAGAGAGTTGGGATCCGAAAGCAAAAACAAAAACGAACGAAGGAAAGGCGATCGGAAAAATGGGAGAGGGCAGCCACAGACGTGAAAGAGCGTTTCAGAAGGGGGGGAGGACATCTGAAGGTTGACTGCCCGTGGACGCGACAGCTGTCTCAGACCAGCCAAGGAGAGACAGAAGGCTACTACCAGAATTAAATAACCTACGAGCAGATTTGATGCCAGAAACGAGCTACTTCTAGCAGAGCGCAGACGCGAGAGCTTTGCATTGCTAGCGGGAGCTCGTGCCGTCATTTCGACGAGTGGATCGAGCTCGTGCCCGCCAGGCTCGCAATCCGCAGCGTACGATTTACTAAAACCCGCTAATAGCCGTACGCTAGATCTCCGCTTCGCTAGCGAGAGCTCGTGCGGTCACTTCGAAGCATGGATTGAGCACGGACCCGCCGGAACCGCTTTCCGCAGCACACGATCCACTGCCAGACCGACGTGAGCGGTTGTCCGCTCACGTCGGTATCCACCTATACATCGAATGAGTGTAACTCGAGAGCAGACAACCGCTCACGTCGGTCTGGCAGTGGTGAGCCCGACGTGGCGCTCTTGTGTATTTATGCGAGTTCGATTCACTACCCAGAATAATCGTTATCAATTTCAAGATGTTGCGACTGGCGTTGTGACCGAACTTCTTGAATTTCGGGTCGTGACCACGGTTAAAACTTTCTCGAAGCAGGGTAAGCGGCGAAAATACCTTCGTCGAGTCGCTGGAACACTCCGCAAGAAATGCTTATGCAGGTCCGCACACTTTCCATTTCCAGTGCCTCATCGGTTCGCTATAAAATGCGACGCCAAGAATGAAAAGAAAAGAAATAAACTATAGAAGTTAAGTGACGAAAGGAGTTTTGAAAGTGAATTCAAAAGACGGCAGAATGACACACCGATACTCGAGACAACGCTCACTTTCAACAGGAATTTGTAACATTTTCCCCGACACGCGCTCTAAAGGCAGATACGCGACGATGTCCGAATGGAAAGTACAAACGAGTTTCGATTTACGTAACTACACAGCCGGAGGACTCGTATGCGTAAACACACGTCCCGCTCGCGAAAATGCTTACCTCGAGCGTGCGTTCCAAGAACCGGCGATGCTTCTTCGACGAGCAGACGAACGATCGGTCTGCGTGGATTCCACAAGAGAAACACACACACAAAAAAAAAAAAAAGAAAAAGAAAACCTGGCGTATCTTTTTGTGCCTGTGGCTGTCGAAAAAAAAAAAAAAAAAAAAAAAAACACGCGACGCGGACACATCCTGGAGCGCTGCGTCATCCGCGTTTACAAAATATTTTTTTTTCTTTTGGTCAATTTTTTCTGTGCTCATTTCCGAAGAATAGTTTAGCCCCTCCTCCTGATAAGCCTCAACCCAGATTCGCTGTCAAAACAGAGGGAATCCGTCTCAAAATACTTCTAGAGCCAAATGCAAGGACGTCGATGCTCGTTGAGGGAGCAGTGTGTGGGGATTTCCGCCTGATTCGAACTGGCAAGGTCTCGGCTTTGCGAGGTTTAGTTTGCAGCGTTTAAAACAGGGCACTTCCATTTTTGAAAGGAGTAGAGGGCTTTACTTGGCCAGGCTTACGTGGAGCTCACCGTAATTCGGTTGGTTTCCGGAACTCCGTTGGAAGGAACTTGATTTCCTTCCTCCTTTCACACGCTGAGCTGATAGCGCTGTGAAAGCTGCCCGCTCGCTGGACAAATCAACCCAGTCCCTTGCATCGCCTCAGCCCGCTCTCTGAGCGTGGGTCAGGCGACCCCCGTGTGACTGATACACCGAGCGCGGAGCTCCCGCCGCACTGTCACCTAGGGGTGAACGGGGTGTGGCAGGGAAGAATTCGCCTTGGTCACGTTTCGAAATTCCGCGTCGCCTCACGATGACGAGAGAGCGCGCTCTATGACGCCATCCGACGGCGCTTTGACAGGGCTGTCTTGTCGGTCACCTACGGAGTTTCAACTCGTGTACGGCTACATGTCGCGCCTCTTTCCTCTATTTATGCAAGTTATATTTCGCGTTTTTATTTTTGGTCGCTGCAGCGCGTGCAAGCCGATGAAAACAGACCTTTTCACGATCGCGGATGCAGGTCAAACGGATCTAATTTGCTACGGGTGCCGAAAGATGAACACCCACCAGGCGTGGCAAGATCCTCGCCGTTCTACGGAATTGATTGAATAAATTTGAGGAATGAATTGATTGAATAAAGCCGAATGGCGTAATAAATACGCCCTTCGGCTATTCAGGCTACAGTACGCACCGCTGCAGCCATGCGTCTTTCACAAACTTTTCTTCCTTCACACCTAAGCTGGTAGTGCAATGGGAGCTACGCGCTCCACCAAACCAATCAACCACGTCGTTTTCAACACGTAATCGCCGCCGCCCCCCCCCCCCCCCCCCCCCCCCCCCCGTCTCGCTTCCAACATGTCCACGTCACGTAAGATCTATTTATGACTGGTCCATCGAGCACGTAGCTTCCAGCGCACTGTCAGCTTTGAAGCTTGGAGGGTGAAAAATACCAATGTCTTTCGTAGACCTCCAAAGAAACGGTCAGCCGTAAAGGTTTACATGTTAGTGTACAGCCTGCGGCCAGTGTCACTACCTTTTCATCCCGCTCCCCCCTTCCCTATGAAGTGCCGATCGGGACCATTTGTCTGCGAGCGCGAGGGTGCCGTTCGCGCTGGTGGCGGGTACTTTCCAGCGATGATTCCGTTCTTCCAAGAGGTCTACGGAATTCTTATATCAGATAGGTTCATGACCTTGGGGATTGCGAAAGATGAACGCTGTCTCCACCAAAGCTTTGGAGTGCGTGCCAAAAGAGGCGGTAACAAAGAGAGAGAAAGGGACGGAGAAAATAAAAACGCACGTAATGATGACCTATTAACACAATGTGCGCTACGTGAGAGACTGAGATGTCCGTTCTTCTTCATCCTTTTGTTTTGTTTCATTTGGCGTAAAAAATGCGAAAACGCCGGGGAGCAGAAGTCTGGGGGCGATGTCCAGCGGCAGACCCTTGTTTATGAGGCATTCATCGTCCTTGCTGAAGTTTGTAACCGGTTCAACGGTTTGACCCATTCATCGACGCGCAAGAAAATACGCCAAAGGGGTTTTTTAATTTTTTTTTTTCGGTACGCGACTTTTTTGTTTTTTTGTTTTTCTCGCCGTCTGCTTTTTTTATTGTTGACCTCTTGCCTTTTTGTCGTTCTATGCTCTGTTGGGAGAATTGAATCGAGACGGCTCCGAATTGTTTTTAGTTTCTAGCGTCGTGGTTAATTAGTCTATGCACGTTCTGCTTACTTCCGTGCTGCTCGTTTTAGAAAGGGAAATCCTAGACAACCCACGAACTCCAGGGGGATTCACCCTTTTATACTTTCAACGGCGACGCTACCCGTTCCGTACCTTTTCCGATAAATTGACGTATTTCCGCGCGGAATTCTAGTTCGCATCAAAATACTCCGCATATTTGTTCTGTCTGAGATATACGCAGGTCGGCTAAATGGCCGCGAGCACAACGCCTCGGTTTTTCCCTTAGACGAGCGCATCGCTACGGTGCTAATAAGGTTTGGTGAGTGTTCTAGTTGCGATAGCAAATCCAGAGATCGGCCATGCCTGTACTGCTTTCGTATTGACGAATATCCCCTTCTGCCAGTTGTTGACATTATTCGGTGCTTTCTACCGGCGTTCTGTCGTGCAGCCACTTTTGTGTTTGCTAGTTAAGGGACCTCCGGTTAGTGTTCCTATAGTATAGACATTTTCCACAAGGGCGCCGCCATCTTGAATTGTCGTCACTTCCAGTATGGGCGACGACAAAATAGTAAAACGTTTCAACTTGTAACCAGTAAAAAAATAGAGTGGAGCCAAAACGAGAATGTGTGACAATTAGGCTTATAGTCCAAATGTCTTCTATTGGCGTGGCGACGGCAAAGTAATGTTTTCGCCCATACTGGAAGTGGCGACAATTCAAGATGGCGGCACCCTTGTGGAAAAGGTCTATACGCGTACGGAGAGTCTACAATGGAGACATCATAAGAGACCGATTGCAAACAGGTCGCCTGCATCGTGTATAAACACACAAGCTGTTTAAAACACACCTGCGTTTTCCCACACCAGTCGTAAGCAATGCGCCTACCCCCCAAAAAAAAAAGAAAAAGAAAAAAATTTGCGTCAAATAAAACGGTTTTGTGTGTGTGTGTGTGCGTGTGTGTGTGTCCGCGCGTGTGTGTGTGTGGGTTGAGTTGTGATTGCGAGTACGTTTCGCTGTTTCCAAGAGGGCAGGTTACCAGACCGCGTCAAATCCACAGTAACTGCTGTTTTTTTTTTTATTTTTTTTCTTAGATTTGGGGGGGGGATACTTACTGTATGGATGCGAACACATGATAGTTGAGTGATTTATGAATTAAAGCTTTGCATCACATTAATTGAAAACAGCATGGAAAGCATATGGGTGCTGTGGGCTTTGCTAGAACTTCCCTTGTAGGTCACATCTCCAGAAAAAAAATGTATTCTAGTCATTTTTTTCATTTCTTTTTTCTTTTCTAAGAATAAAGAGTGCCTTAACCACCAGTATAGGCTATGCAACTTCAAAATACTTTTAAAAGAAAGTACATATTTAATGCTTCTTTTACATTTATGACCTTTTCGTTAGTTGTCAAAGATTGGTTGTATCAGTGATTTTCAACCATAGATGTTTCGCGGACCGCGCTTTTGGGTCGGCGGAGATGATGGAGGACCCCGTTACTGATTTAATAAATGAATATAACTAAGGGATAGTGTGAAGTAGACTTCTCTCATTGGCATACACACAAGAAAACTCACCCAAAATTTAAAAAAAAAAAAAAAACTTCTTCACA